CACACACACACACACACACACACACACACACACACACACACACACACACACACACAGACACACACATACACTACGTGTATCAAGTGCACAAGGAATCCACCGAGCAGTTTTCTCTGCTCCCAAAAAACCTTCAAACTCACCCCTGAGAGAAAGAGAGAGGAAGATGGAAAGAGACAGAGGGGCACAACGGTGATCTCATTGTTGCTATTGTCTCTGCTTTTGAAGCAAGGAAGATGCCTCTCCTCAGTTCTCCTTCTGTGTGTGTGTGTGTGTGAATAGTGGGGTTAACCCTGAATGCAGCTGGGCTGTATTGTGTCTGGTTACAGAGAGTGGTTCCCTATAGCAGGTTCAGAGGCTGAAAGACAAAAGGCCAGAGAAACACTGGCCAACATCTGAATATCTAAGACCAATAAGTCTGTTTGTGTGCATGTGGTTTGTTTTGGGGGGTTTGAAACTTGAAGGTTGGTTAAACGTGATGCTGGTATGTTTGTTTAAATTTGGTGAAAAATAGCTTTATTGGCGACCTCTCTTCTTTCTGTCTCTCTTTTGGCTCTGTTATGGCTGAGTGGGCTTCCAGATCTGTCCGAAATTGCATTTCACACACGGTGGCTGACAGTGTGAAAGAGTTACACGTATAACACACACATGAACAGTCACAGATAAACACATATCTGTGTAATAATAACGACTGGAAAAAGTCCATAACATTGTTCTGACATTCAATGGCTATGTTTTCACAAGTTAAATTGATTCCAGGAGGATATGGATGTTTGAAGACATCTGAAGCAGCAGCAGTTTAAGTGGAAATAATAGGAATTTTGTGACTGTACAGTCACATTTACTTGTGTTAAGCGAAGGGTGAAAGACGCCCATATGCAGATTCATATGATCAACATGATCAAACTTGTGGAATTCATGCCAACTTGAGTGCTGCAGTCTTTGAAAGAAAAGGGGGACAACCAATTACAAAGAAATTCAGAATTTCATGTAAATTACATTTTTAAGCTGATAACATAATTTGTCATAAAACAAATGTTGCAAAATAAAAAATAAATGCATTTTCACTCACGGTCTCAGGTGTTTTGGGCCCTACTGATGCATAAATAAACAACCATGCACACAAACACTGCAGAGAGTGGCAGTTTACAAACGGACATTTTTTTTTTATAACCAAGGTATGTGCACTGATGCACACTCTCAGACATCTTTTGTGTGTGTGTGTATGCTGTCAGTGGACAGTCTTTGAGAAGAGTGGAAAGCAATAAACCTGCTGAAATGGTGCCATCTCACAGACATGATTGATCAATTGAATTCTATCAGACACACTGACCGCTGGGATTAAGAGGGTCAAAACACTGGAGATCATGCACTCTTTGTCTGTTCTGTGTGTGTGTGTGTGTGTGTGAGAGAGAGAGCGTTTAGGCTTTGTTGAGGTAAGTCTTGGTGTGAGGTGTATTAGAGACACATGGGACCTGCACGCCATCAGCGAGTCAGAGACTAGCAGATCTTTCTTTTAAATAACCGCAGACGGCAGTAAACTGGATCTGAATTCACATTCAAATGGATCGATTTCTGTGTTCAAATGAAGGAGGAAAAGGGAATGTTTGGATAGCTGCTTTGTCTGCCTGGCATTTTATCCTTCTATCCCTCCGTATCTCTCTTTCTCTCTCTCTCTCGTCTTGTGGGGATTGCTCTGGCCTCTACTCGAACTCCCTAGAATAACCTCTCAGAGAAAATGAATGAATTGGCTCTATATCAGGGATTTTCGTTTCTATTCTTCTTTTTTCATCCCTCTCTCTCTCTCTCTTTTTCTCTCCCAGTAATCATTTGAGTTCAAATGAAGGAGGAAAAGGGAATGTTTGGATAGCTGCTTTGTCTGCCTGGCATTTTATCCTTCTATCCCTCCGTATCTCTCTTTCTCTCTCTCTCTCGTCTTGTGGGGATTGCTCTGGCCTCTACTCGAACTCCCTAGAATAACCTCTCAGAGAAAATGAATGAATTGGCTCTATATCAGGGATTTTCGTTTCTATTCTTCTTTTTTCATCCCTCTCTCTCTCTCTCTTTTTCTCTCCCAGTAATCATTTGAGGGCTGTAGCTTTCTCAGCTCTTATAATTGTCTCTTCAGAAACTCAACAGCCCAGTAATAACTGACTCACGCGTTGCCTTAACACTCACTCAGAGAGGAGGACGCAAGTCCAGGAATCTGTGTTTGTGTGCTTGAGTCTCTGTATGTTAGTTTCCAGAAAAGTACGAGTACCCAACCTTACGATCATGATGACAAAGAGAAATAAATCACTATTATTTTTTTTTTTTGTGGCAGGAAAGCGACTGATGCTGTAGGTCATGTGACAATGCTAACTTGGCGAATGTAGTACTTTTTTTAATGATTGCGAAGTAATTTCTGCTCAGAGTGTATGCCATTTTGGATGCCGCTATAGAGTTTCAGATACCCAAAAATCTGTTGTAACAAATGAGATTGAAGTGGATGACTTTATTTAAAGCAACAGTTAAGAGGGCCGTTCACCCATAGGCCATAATATTTAAAAAAAATGTATTTAAAAAAATCCACTTTTGTTTAGATCATTATAGCTCTAAAAATATTTTTTATGCTGATTTTTTTTAAGGTTATATTTTAATATTGAAACTCTGGGCCAAGGGAAAGAGTCCATCAATAAAGTTTTGATATAAAATCTGTTGATTAAAAAAAAATAAAAAATAAACTCCTGGGACATAAACGTGCCTGAAGTTCAAGAAGCACCCATATGTTAACTACCATGAACTAACAATAAAACTGATGAATTTACCATTTCTGGTCAGAATTTTGGGGGGTGAAATAGAGTCACTCCAAATGGAATCCATGCCATCAGGAGTTTCTCGTGAGGGCGCAAAAAGTTCCTCATGTGGATTTTACTCATTTTCAAGTTGGTCACATGACATTGTCGCACTTGGTTTGAAACTGACTTCTGTGTGAGCTGTGCTTTATACATTGCTACACTACGGACATCAGATAAAGCACCTTGTTTGCCTGCAAACAAGTAAAGTTTGTTTATAGTTATTTTCACTAAATCTAAAACTCAAGCTTGTGCGTAATAAGCAATCTTATTCTTAAATGTCCTACAAGTTACACTGTACTTTATTGCTTCTTTTTGAAATCTGTTTGAATCTCTCTCCAGCTCTACAGGATTCTCCATTGGCGAACGGCCACGCCCATTCAGGGCGGGACTTCCTGCGGAAGCAGATGCGAGGAGAACTCTTTACACCACAGCAGCTCGAGGTATTGGACCATGTCTTTGATCGACAGCCCTATCCCGACATTTACCCCGTCCCTGACAGCAGCAGCTTCAAGCCTGCCCAGGTAAGGGGCTGGGGGGTAGGGGTGTGTATCCTGCCACGCTGGTTGTGCGCACCTCCTCTGAAAGCTCACGCTTGCCCTTGCCTGGCTGCCAATATTGCTGGACCCTGTCCCAACCCTGCTGTTGACCTATGCGCCCCCACACTGAAGCTAACACTGACCTTTCACCTCTCTGAGCTTATGCTGGGGCTTTGACCCCGCTGGTGCTGATGTCCACTCTATAGAGTTTTTGGCTGAGGTTAAGTCCTAGCACTGCGTAGAGGTTTAGGGTTAAGTAGCAAACACTTGTTCATTAGTTTGCAAAAGTTACCCACACACATGGCATAATGTTTGTATGTCCAAGTGACCACATCAGATAGATTCAGCAGTCATTATTATCAAAAAAAAAAGTTAAAATGCATGATGAGGCGATGTTTCATAAATGTTCAATTTTGTGAGCTTTTGGGCTTATCAGTCACTCTTCTTTTTACTGCTTCAAATAAATAAAATTAGAATTGAATAGAAATTAATACTTTTATTCAGCAGAGATGCATTAAATTGATCAACAGTGATAGTAAAGACATTTATAATGTTAACAAAATATATATTTTTTTAATAAATGCTGTTCTTTTGAACTTTCTATTCATCAAATAATCATGAAAAGATGTATCATGGTTTCCTCAAAAATATTAAGCAGCCAAAACTGTTTTCAACATTGATAATAAATGTTTCTTGAGCAAAAAATCTATATATTAGAATGATTTTGGAAGGGTCATTTGATGCTGAGGACTGGAGTAATGGCTGCTGATTACAGAAATAAATTAAATTTTAAAATATATTAAAATACAAAACAGTTATTTGTAATAATATTTCACAGTATTACTGTTTTCCTGTATTTTTGATCAAATAAATGCAGCCTCGGTGAGCATGAGACTTCTTTTAAAAAACGTTTTTTCAGAAGAAATTTTAACCAGTAGTGTATAATTGTATTTAAGCTGAACAGATACTGCACATTCATTAGATGAAAAATAGCAGCTTTGACAGTCTGATAATTACATTTTGCATTCGATAAGAAAAAAGTCACCAAAGTTTAGAATGATGTAAAGGAGGGTACACGACGTCAACATTTTTAGTTTAAAGCAAATGATCTGCGACTCGACTGGGCTGGCCAAACCGCGAATGGAATATTTCTGCTTCAGCGTTTTAGACAAACAGTTTTTAATAAATCTCTTTGGTTTCCTCCATTCTGGTCAAAGCTAGGTTTGTGTTTGCAGTATGACTGCAGTATGGCTAGACATGCTGACATATAACAAATAACATGTAAAAGTACAGCTGTATGCACATACAGACGCATAATGTGTGATGCATAAAAACTGATCACAAGAAAAGGCAGTCAAAGACGTCACTCAAAAGTCAAATGCTATGACCCCCACATCCATTCAGGCACACATACAAGGCCAGTGTCAGAGTTCTATAGACTTGTCTGAAAGACCCCATAATTCCTCTGTCCATTTCACCACTGAGCGCTGAGGCTGGCAAGGTCAAAGGCTACTGAGCAGGGCATTAACCTTAGGGTCAATCCAGATCCCTTGGGTGTGTGTGAGTCAGGTTTGTTGTGGCACAAATGATCAGACAAATTGAGAGCCGGGAATTTTGAGCTGTCTGTTTTTTAGAAGCGATGGTGTGCGAGAGAGGCATATGCTAAGTGGTCTTGTGTGATTGACTGACAGGTAGTTTTCCCTCCACTGACAGTGTGAATGCTGCTGAAGGAGAGAGAAATGATGGCGAGCTCGACTCCGTTCGAGTGTGTTTGTGTCTCCTAGGGCAGGAAATGAACTTGGGACTTGATTTTGTTCTTTTCTCTGTAGCTGCTGATTAGATTAAGATTCATAAGGGCTCAATTATATACAGTGGGTATAGAAAAGAATCACCCCCCCCCCTTTTAAATAATCACATTTTGTTGCTTTGCAGCCTGAAATGAAGACGGACACAGTTTTTCTTTTATTCAGCTGTGTTTACTCAGGGCAACTTATAACATTCAAGTGAAAAATATAACACCAACATGTCAGAAAAAATAAAAAATAAAAAAAAAACAGAATCACTGAGTTGGAAAAAGGATCACCCCCTTGTGTCAGTATTTTGTTGAACCACCTTTTGCTTTAATTACAGCCTTTAGTCTGTAGGGATTTGTCTCTACTAACTTTGCACATCTAGACTTTGCAATATTTGCCCACTCTTCTTTGCTGAACTGCTCAAGTTCAGTTCAATCTGATGGTGAGTGTTTGTGGTCTTCAAGTCATTCCACAGATTTTCAGTGGTGTTTAAGTCTGGGCTCTGACTAGGTCATGCAAGGACGTTCAGCTTTTTCTCCTTCGACCACTGGGTGCTTTGGGTCACTGTCATGTTGGAAGGGAAACCTTCTTCCCATTGACAACTTTCTGGCAGAGGGCAGCAGATTTTCCTCAAGAATTTGA